CTCATGATCCTGTAGTTGTTTCTCTCTCTTTTTCTCAGCCTCTTTGTTTTCCATCATTTGGTCTTCTATATCGCTGATTCTCTCTTCTGCCTCATTTATCCTAGCATTTAGTGTCCCCATTTTTGATTGCACCTCATCAATAGCCTTTTTGATTTTGAGTTGGTTAGATTTTAGTTCTTTTATTTCTCCAGAAAGGGTTTCTCTAATAACTTCCACGCTTTTTTCAAGCCCAGCTAGTATCTTTAGAGTCATGATTCTGAACTCTAGGTCCGACATCGTACTAATGTCCGTATTGAGTAGGTCCCTGGCTGACGGTACTACCTCTTGTTCTTTTTGCTGAGGTGATTTTTTTCGTCTTGTCATTTTGTCCAGAGGAGAATAGATGAATGAGAGAACAAAATGCTAACAGGTTTACAACGTCCCCAGCAAATATACTGTATACAAATCAGAAAAGACCTGAAACCAGGGGAAAAGAAAGGGAAAGAAAGAAAAAGAAAAAGAGTAAAAAAAGAGAAAAAAAGATAAAAACAAAAACAGAATAATACAAAAAAAGCAGAATATGATCAAATATGATCAGGCTAGTGCATAGATCAGTGCCACACACTAGATTTTAGGCGTATTTTGGTCTGTTAGAAAAAAGTGCCTCCTAAAATTTTAAAGGAAGAAAGACATATATGTACAAAATAAGGGTTGATACAATGAAGGGATGGAAGATGACTGTAAAGATGAAAATTATAAAAGATTTTATAAAAGGACTTGATAAGATAAGAAGTTGTTTGAAAAAAGAAAGAAGATTTAGAAAAAAAAAAGGAAAAAGGGAGAGAATGTGGTCAGGCAGGAGACTAGAACAAAGGCATACACTAGTGATTTAGGGTATATTTTTGTCTGTTAGAAGAAACTGTACCTCAAAATTTTAAAGAGAGAACAACTTATATATATACGCCAAAAATAAGGGTAACTACTATGAAGGGATAAAATATGACTCTAAAAATGAAAAATAAAAAATGTTTTTTTTTTAAAAAGGGATTGATAAGATGTTGGTTGAAAAAGGGAAAAAGAAAAAGAAAATAAGAAAGAAAACAGTCAACAAAAATTAACTTTGATGAACTAGTGAATCATGGTAAAAAAAAGCCATGAATTCTATGTGCAGTATTCCCCTAGCGCTGGAGTTCTCCCGTTCTCCTTGATCGGTAAACTTGGTCTTGGCTTGCTGGCTGTTCCTGCTGATCTTCTGGGGGAGGGGCCTGTTGCTGTGGTTTCCAAATGTCTTTGCCGGAGGCTGAATTATCCCGCCCTTGTCGGTCCAGGCTAAGGAAGCTGCTCGGGTTTGCTCTCAGGAGCTTTTGTTCCCTGCAAGCTCTCGGTACAGTTTTGGAGGACAAGGGCAAAAATGGTGGCCTCCCAATCTCCACCCAGACGAGCTGAGAACTCGGGGCCCCGCTCCTCAGTGCGCCCCCAGAGAAAAGCAGACACTCCCATCTCCCTGGTCTCCGGCCGCACTCCGTGTTCACCTGGCCTGTGACCGAGGGTTTCTATCTCTGGCACCCGACCCCGTGTGGAGTCTCCAAACCCAGCAGATCCCTGCAGTGCATTCCTGCGCCGCTCCTCCCTGGGAAGGAAGGGGAGTTTCCCTGTATCTGCTGCTTGTTGGGTCCCTGCTGGAGGAGCAGTGGCCCGACTGGGCCGTGGATCACAGTTTATGGCCACCCCGAGCTGAGAGCCCGCGCCTCGGCTCCATCTCTGCAGCCGGCTTCCCCGCTCTGACACCTGGGAGCTGTGCTGCACTCAGGCACCCCCGGTCTTTCTGTGACCCCAAGGGACCTGAGACCACACTGTCCTGGGAGGATTCCACCCCCTGCTTAGCCACTGCAGCAACGTCCCTCAGCCGAGCCAAGTTCTAAAAGGTCCAATTTTGTGCTCCGTGGCTCTAGCACTTGCCAGAGGCGGCGGATGGAGGCCCCCTCCCCCGCCGTCTATCCTCCCGAATATCGCCTTGGATTCACTTCTCTGCACGTCCTACCTTCCAGTAAGTGGTCGCTTCTCTGTTCAGAGAGTTGTTGCTACTCTCCTCTTCGATCTCCTGTTGAGTTCGTAGGTGTTCAGAATGGTTTGATCCCTATTCAGCTGAATTCCTGAGACCAGATGAAATCTAGGTCTCCTATTCCTCCGCCATCTTGCTCCGCCCCCCCGTGTTTCTGATTTTTTTTAATTTAATTTAATTTTATTATGTTATGTTAGTCACCATACAATACATCATTAGTTTTTTTTCTATTCTTGTTTTTTAATTTTTTTATTGTTATGTTAATCACCATATATTACATCATTAGTTTTCGAGGTAGTGTTCCATGATTCTTTGTTTTTGTATAACACCCAGTGCTCCATGCAGTACGTGCCCTCCTTAACACCCATCACCAGGCTAACCCATCCCCCCACTGCCCTCCCCTCTGAAACCCTCAGTTTGTTTCTCAGAGTCCATAGTCTCTCATGGTTCATCTCCCCCTCCGATTTTATCCCCTTCATTTTCCCCTTCCTTTTCCTAATGTCCTCCCTGCTATTCCTTATGTTCCACAAATAATATGTTCCACAAATAATTCCTTACAATAATTGACTTTCTCTGCTTGACTTATTTCACTTAGCATAATCTCCTCTAGTCCCATCCATGTTGATGTAAAAGTTGGGTATTCATCCTTTCTGATGGCTGAGTAATATTCCATTGTATATATGGACCACATCTTCTTTATCCAGTCATCTGTTGTAGGGCATCTCGGCTCTTTCCACAGTTTGGCTGTTGCGGACATTGCTGCTATGAACATTGGGGTGCATACAGCCCTTCTTTTCTGATTTTCTATTCTGAATTGTTTCCCTCATATCTTTCATTATATTTGTTTTGCATTTTAAATTATTTGTCCTCTAAAAAAATAAAAATAAATTATTTGTCCTCTAATTTCATACTCTATGTTCTGTTCTATCTTGTTTTGCTTCTGAGACTTGCATTATTATTGTCCTATGGATTCACATTCCCCATGGACTACTGGATATTCTTTCAGGTACTGTGCAGACACGGTGGCCTAAAGGCTGTCTGTCCTGAGAGCTTAAGGAGATGGCAGGATGAGCTCTAAGTGGGAAAGTTGCATTTATCAGCAACCACAGTTATTTCCTCCTGCTTTTTAGAATTCCATTTACCAGCTTTTTCTGTCACGTCTTTACCTTCAAACCACTAGGATCAAACAGAAATGAGAAGAAAGCGGTCTTCTTATAGTAATACCTCAACACTGAGTATTTGGTGGGAAGAGATGAGAGTAAATGACCTAGACGAGTCACTAAGTGTCTACTTTCCTCAATTGACTATCCAGAAGGACTTTTGTGGAGAAGTCCAAACCTCTGTCATCTAAGTACTCCAGGCAGAGCTCGAGAGAGGCCAGAGCAGACTTAAATTCACTTATTCCCAATATCCTGTCACAAAGAAGCAATAAACTTATTCCCTATGGCGAGTCTCCACCCAGCCTTCTGCCCCCACACCACATTCCAGCTCATAGACATCTTCCTTAGTCCCATGGGACTCTCACTTTTTAATATTCTTGTTGTGATTATCTAGATTTTTTGCTTACCTCAGTTTCTCCAGGATTATTTTGGTGGTGGGAGTCAGCAGTCTAAGAAGTTAATCACCCTCCTAGCAGGAACTTGAAACCCAGAGGTTCATAGAAGTCAAACCACCCACCCCAGGATAGCAGGGCCAGGAAACCTTTTGGCCAGGTTTGGAATTAAAGTTTGCTGTATTCCACCTCCTGTTCTGAGCCCCTTCTGCCACAGTTACCAGCTTTCCCAGGAGATTCTCCAGAGCAGCCACCGCACTAAGAACGGAGATGCACCCATATCCCTGGGGACAAAATTTATCAAATGCAAAACCCCGATGTGCCATGCGTTCCCTCTGCCCATGCTCCTTGGTGAGTGCTGGCCTAGGGAGTGAAAGTATGAAGCTAGAGCAATTACTTCATATTTGTCTCTGAGAATCAGCCTGGAGAATCATACTCCTGGGGCACAGAACCTAGAAATACTTCTGTGACTATGTGCAGGAAGTACATCCAACCTCCACCACTGCAGTCTGGGCTTCTGCTCTCTGGCTGGCCCAATATAGCCAGCGGTCCTGGGGCCTCTGCTTTCTCATTTGCTATAGGCTAAGAAGAACCTGCATGCCCAAAGCAAGGTCCTATGAGACCAAACGGAGAACAGGTGCAGGGGGTTTTCCTTTGGTGGTGAATGCTATCTGGGCCAGACACCTGTGGCAAGTGCTCCAAGAAAAAAGCAGGGTTCTGTATTCCCTCTGATACCCACAAATGATCCCAGTCAGAGTCCCTGCCTCCTGTCTCTCAGTCCATCCTAGGGTGGGCAGTGGAAGCTACTTCCTTAGAGAGAAAGTCACCCATGTGTGTCTCCTGCAGAGGACGAGGTTAAGCGGAGGTGGCCTTGATTCAGGGTGTTGAAGGGCATGGGAAATGGCTTCAGACCCCCATCCTCTAGTTACTGCCTTCTTTGGGATATTATGCAAATGACTTAAGTTCACTGAATTTCAGTAACTCATTAGTGAAGTGTATGCAATAAAATGTATGGGTTTTCAATTAGATGCTGCACTGTGTAGTGCTTAGAATTCAAAGTGGCAGCTCTTAACTGCTTGCAATTTAGATGCGCTTAGGACCTGGAAGCCAGGGATGTGGATCTTAGTGAACAGAGAGCAGTGACGGATGTATCCTGAAAGTTCTCTCTCCAACCACTACCTATCACTTTGCTTTTGCATTTTAATCTCTCAGCCTTCTTGCTCTCCTTCCCTGGGTGCATTGAGGAGTAGGGAGCAATGTGCAGACTTTAGAGGGAAGGTCCAGGGACTTGGAATATAGACGTACATGAATTGGGTGAGGTGTGTTTCTTTAGAGAAGGCTGGAAGTACCAACTTTTTTTTTTTACACTATTTAACTTTTTTCTCTCCTTCCAGAAAGAGTAGTGGCATGGACAGAATCAACCAGTCCAGTGTCACCAAATTCCTCCTCTTGGGTCTTTCTGAGAGGCCAGAGCAGCAGCCTCTCCTATTTGGCATCTTTGTGGGCATGTACCTGGTCACTGTCATGGGGAACCTGCTCATTATCCTGGCCATTGGCTTTGACTCACACCTCCACACACCCATGTACTTCTTCCTGGCCAACCTCTCTTTTGCTAATGCCTGCTTTTCTTCCACCACCGTCCCTAAGATGCTGGTGAACATCCAGACACAAAGTCAGACCCTACCATATGGAGAGTGTTTGGCCCAGATGCACTTCTTCATGACATTTGGAATATTGGATGACTTCCTCTTGGGGGTGATGGCCTATGACCGCTATGTGGCCATCTGTAGGCCTCTTCACTACTCCATGCTCATGAGTCCCCTTGTGTGTGTGCTCCTTCTGGCGGCATGCTGGGTTCTCACCAGCCTCGCTGCCCTCCTGCACACCCTGCTTATGGCTAGGCTTTCTTTCTGTGCAGGCAACAGCATCCATCACTTCTTCTGTGATGTGGTCCCGCTGCTGCAGCTGTCCTGCTCAGACACCAGCACCAGCCAGGTAGCCCTGTTCACTGGTCCTCTCTCCCTGATCATTTTGTCATATGCACACATCATCTCCACCATCCTCAGGGTCCCATCTGCCTCTGGCAGGCAGAACGCCTTCTCCACCTGTGGGTCCCACCTCACTATTGTCTTCCTGTTTTATGGCACAGCAATTGATGTCTGTCTGTTTCCCCCTTCATCTCACTCTGGGGGTAAGGACAGGGTTGCAGCTGTATTTTACACCATCGTGACACCTATGCTGAATTCCTTCATTTACAGCCTCAGGAACAATGATATGAAGACTGAGCTGAGAAAGCTTTTTGGAATTCATATATTCTCTTCTCAGGGTCTTTGACCCTATATCCGTATTTTGAAGTTGTGCTCTGGAGAACCCATGTGTTTATGAAGCAACACCACCCCCTATCACATTTGCTTAGGTTTAAAAAAAGTGATCTAGAATCATTCTTTTAAACTTCAAATCTAACAGTGTATGGGGTCAGTGTATTTCATAAAGGACTTGTGCTATCTTATAAATGTGAATATTTCCCTGGTGTTGTGAAGGGTGACCTAAGCAACACAGGGGCAAGGTCAATTAGAACTTCTTTGTTTGCTGTTATCCTAATGTGTATATATTTTTTAACCTACGATTCAACCAGAACTAATTAATCTCTCATTTGGCAAATACTGTGTGTGGCAGAGCGGGTATTGATTCCATGCCTTTATGGCATTCACCTTATAGAATTCAACATGGGATGCAGTTAATTGCACATGTATGCAATTAACTTATAATACAAGTCCAATCATCATGATTTCTCCATAAAGCTTAATATCTATTTTATTCTGTGTTCTTAACTCTCTAAATATATTATGCCATTTAGTTCTCCAATTTTAATGATCTTGGGTTAAATAGTATGTATATTACATTTTGCAGATGGAAACCATAGCTAATATGTAGGGAAAGAAGGATTAGAATTTATTTCTAGTCTGACTCTGGAGTTCAAAGTCCCACATGCTTTAGTGTCCTGCTTCTTGGTGCTAATATTTGTGGCAAGAGACATATTCACATTAAGCTAGTATATACACTGATGCCTACCATATGCCGGGCACTGTGCTATGCACTATTGGTAAAATGTAAAAATGAGTGAGATATTGTTGATGCCTATACATGGTAGACAGCCATGTGTTCAATTTGGTGTTAATCAAGTCAGATGGTGGTAGTTGCCATGTAACTGCCAAGTAACCTGCATAACAGTGGTCAGGTATAGTTTTACCCATGATGTGACATTTTGTTAAGCCTTAATGTATCAGCTCACTTGAACGGGTGAAGAAAGAAAAGTGAGCCATAGGGACAGGCTGTTTACAATAGTGGTCCTGCTGATTGTTGGAGCCCTGCCGGCCCAACCTTGGAAATGTTTCATAGTGGTGTCTCTAAATATGGGTCTTGGCTTTTCTTTCCCAGTTCTGTTTCCATAAAGTCTTTTGGTAAGTTCTGTTCCTTGTAGCTATCTGTCATTGTCAATGTTTTTGAATTCTAGTTGTAGATTAGTATTTCCTGGAGCTTTAGAACTCTCTAGAGAAGAGATCCTGGTATTTTTTATAAACACAAAACAAAACAGGCAATTCTAGTGCAACCAGGTTCGACAATTCTGTTGTGGGACATCCTTCATGGCAGCAAAAGGGCAGATGAAATAAGGTATGAAAATACCTAGTTCAGTATTTACCCTGTCAAGGTAAAAATCAGTGAGGGATTGAGCATGTAGACAGCACCAAGAAGTTCCTGAATATTTAACCCTGGTTGAATCCTTTTGTATCTTATTCAATTTTTTATTTTTTGTCTGCTGTAATTCACTACCTTTCCATAAAAGCCCGTCTGGACCTGCTACATACTATGTACAGTTCTATCTTTGAATAATGTTTAATTTACTTTTATGCATAATTTTCAATTATACTGACGATATTATCAGAGTGAGGCATTCATCACTTCCAAAGAATCTGCTTATATCCTTATCTTTCTGCTTCTACCCCTGTTCAAAAAAGGTAAGCAAGTGGATGCTCTGCCCACTGGATTTTTTCCTTGCCACTCTTGCCTAGAATCAGTCCCGGGTAGGGTTGTGTATGGCAGTGTACATCCAGGTAGTAGACATCCATCCATTTGGAGCTCATTACAATGTATCGTGATTTTGTCCAAGAACCCGGTTCAAGTGTTTTCCACCCCAACAAACCAATGGTGTGAGCTGAGTGAAAAGAAACTGAAGCCAAGGTGCAGAGCATGGGGATCTGTGCTGATCATCTCTGTTGCTTGTCCTCTCTGGACCGGCTTGAGCCTAATCCCAAATAGAGAATTTCTTTGTATTTTGACTTACTGCTGCACCCTTAAACCCTCTCTCAAGTCTTAGTACTGGGTGAGGGATTATGAGTTTTTATTGTAAAAGCTAACATTAGCTTTCTATATACTATATTTTATTTTTTGGTTATATAATTTAAGCAGTACCCTCATTGGCTTCCCCTCTATTTCAGCCCTAGAAACACAGTGGTTTATTAGCCATTTCAACAAATCCCTGTGGGAGATCTGACCTTGCCATGCATTTTGATATTTGGTATTTTCATTCACATTACCTCTGATGGTTAAGTGCTGCCACCTGGGCCCCTGCTACTCCAGAATAATTTTATCCCTGTTGATACCAGGGAACCAAGCTCCATGTTAGCATTTTCTATCAGTTCTGTCCAGACTTCTCAGTGATTCTGTTGTCCTTCTCACTAGTGTATTCTTTATTGCTTTAGTGAAAGGATTGTCTCCTGAACATAGTTTCCTGGTGGATACTCTGGTCTCATATGATAAATCCATTCTAACATGGCCACAAAATCCCTGAGATTCTGACCTCTTCCTCAGTACTTGGCCAAGGTGTTGTAGCATCTGCATTCCATTTACTGTAAGTGCCATCATGTCCGAGTCCATCAATGATTCCAGCAGTGTATGACAACTTATTCGGGTTGTTCCTGTCTCCTGAGTCATAAGGAGAGTCCTCCCATGTCAAGCAGTTTGACCCTGTCTAGCCTAATATTTCGTAACTTCTTTGTCCAGCCGTCTATATTCCTTCATTGATTAGTGGTATGTATTAGTTAAATCCTGCTCCCCTTTGGATGAACCAGGTAACTATTCCCGTAGCCAGGACTGTTATTTCATGTTGGGGCTTTGCTGAAATCTGTTCCAAGTTATTGGTCTAGAGAAAATGAGGGAGGCAGGCATTTTGAAGAAGGCAACTGTTGTCTTGTGCATCATCCACCTCAGAGCATCCTTATCAATTATCAAGTGCTACATAACGACCCTCAAACTTAGTGTTTAGACAACAACAACAACCATTTACTTCGTTACATTTCTTTGGGTTAACATTTCAGATTTGGCTTAGCTGGGTAATTCTGTTAGTGGTTTTGGGTAGGCTCACTCACGTGTCTGTAGTCAGCAGCCCATCAACTGGGTGAGGCAACTTCTGGAAATGGTGGCTTGTCCTAGTGAATGAATCTCTGGTACCAGAAAATTAGCCTCCAGCTTTCAAAAGATATTGGGGATATCTCTCAGTACTGAGGCTATCTCATGGCTCTGGACCACCTTTTCTTGAATGGTGTATGTAATTGCAATTCTCTGCTAGTACTCATGCCTTCTAGTGATGCTAACCAGGGTTACAATGGCAACAGCACATCCTGATTTTTCCTGCTGCCTGAAGTCTAGCCAGATGTTGATTTCACCACTCTTCTTGCTTTCTAGGGTTTGAAGATCAGGTGAATCATAAGCATACTGTGACCAATGAGTTAATGGCCAGGGACCATTTTAGGTGGCAGTACCCAGTCTGTGTACATTGTAAAACTGACTACATCAGGAAATGATTGGACACACCAAGATCAGGAACATTGCATCCCCATGTCAACACACCTATAGAACAGCAGCTTCTCATTTTCCTGTCTTGACATAAATTTGTGCTTTTCTGTATTCTGTTCCTCCTGCCTTGAAAAACTTTTCTTTTTTTTTTTTATTATGTTATGTTAGTCACCATACAGTACATCATTAGTTTTTGATGTAGTGTTCCATGATGCATCGAAAAACTTTTCTTTTCTGTTTTGCAATAACATACCCGTACTTCAAAACCCATCACAAATGGTACCTCCTCAGTGAAGTCCTCCTGGATTCATCTATCCAGAAGGACAAGAGAAAATTACGTATGATATTTGTTTTAAGCAGAACTTGAAGATTGCAGCCTATGTGTCAAACACTATGCTAAGCACTTTACATGTGTTATCTTTTCAATTTCTCACAACAGCCTTAGATGATAGTTACTATAGTTACTATTCACTTGTTTATATTTGGAAATGATGGGGCATTGATAACTAGCTAGAAGTCATTCAGGAAGTGAATAGTGGAACTGATACATAAACCAGGTATTTGTGATTCCAGTGTAAGTCTTATTTTCACTTAAAAAATTACTGAAAAAAATCTGAGTTTGTCAGTGAGTGAGATTTCAGAGTCATAATTATGCAGGGAAGAAATTGATGGAATGTAGTGAAGTTTCCAAAATTTATCCTGTGGGTTATTGAAAAATCCTCTGCAGATTGTTAGGATACATCCTTAGCAGCATCCCCAGGGGAGATGCAATAATGAAATGGATATATTTAAAAATATATCCGAACATAGGTTGTTGGCATTGTACTGAAGAACCATGGCCTCATAAAAGAAACTTGGTGAGAGCCCAAAATAATGTGGTCCAAGTACCTTTCTGTCTGATCATGTGGCTTGATTCATAAGTCATTTCAGAATATCTAACTAGAGATTTATGCTCAAGCAGAGGGCCTGCTCCCTTGGGGAAGTATGAGGATCTCTGAGGGTGTTTATACTTGTATCCTAGCTTCTGATTTGCCATGCCCCATCCTCAAGTCATTTGGTAGTATTGAGAGAGAAGTTGCTGATTGGAAATGTGTATGGGAATGATGTGGGGGAAGCAAGAAAAGAAAGCAAACTAATAATTGAGAGAAATTTGTGGATTTCATATCCATTTAGGCATAGTGTAACCATGAAGGGTATACATTTTGGAACCAGATACCTGGGTTCAAATTCAGGCTCTGCCACTTAATAGCTGTGTAACTTCATAGAAGTCATTTAACCTTTTTTGAGTCATTGTTTTCTCTTCTGTACAATGCAAATATTTACCTCAAAGGAATACGTTGAATATTGCTAAAGAAAATGAGGATTCCCTAAATTTTTTTAATTTCAGTATAGTTGACATGATAGAGAATATTTTATTACCTCCTTTTATGAGGAAGGAAATGGTGGCTCACTGTGGTTACTTAATTTGCTGTACGTTGGAA